GAAGGTTAGTAAACGCTTTTAATGCAAATTATTTATTTAAGCTCTTGCAACTCCAACCGTACCAATAGCACAAAATCGATATTTGTATAATTGGATTTTATATATTAAACTTTCAAGCCAGAGAAGTCATTTAATGACCACACACTATTAATTACTTACCTATAACATGGATGTGGAAAATAGGATTTTAAATTATTAATCCGCTTAAAATGTTAATCGGCTTTATACTGAACTCTTCTAGCAAGCCGTATTTGCTTTTATCTGAAATCTTGACGTACAACAATAGGGTAAAACCAGAACGGTGTAAATATATCGCCAGACAAAGCAATCCAGCGAACAGTTTGTTACTACATTTAAATAAAATCGGATTTCGAGACGGTAGTACAATAAAATCGTGAGAAAGCAGCAGTTTGCACTTGTGTTACTACACCTACATGCAGCAAAGGAGATAATCGCCATTATTTTCTCAGCACGTGTGTAAGACGTGTTCGATAAGCTGCTTTTGAATATTAAATGTATGGGTAATGTTTTGTTCGGTATGGTAACAGCACAGAATATACACGTCATGTCTCTGGAAACACTTCATTAGAAGTGGTCCTAAAGCGAGATAGGATAGGAAATTATGGGAAGGACTGGAATTAAACACACATCTCTATGAACACCATTAATGGATCGGATCATAATTATGTTCCTTTACCATAAAACATATAAAAAAAAGGTAGAAGCAAAATTGTTCTAACATCTAGGTACGCTGGATAGTACAATCGAGACGTTGTAACGAAATGTCCGTTTTCGTACAGAAATTATATCAGAATTAATGAACGCACTGTACATTGGTGGGAGCTTCCACCTTTAATGAACACCCGGTACTTAGGCAAACTAAAACGGGCGCTTTCTTACAAGAAATTTCAGATTTATGTATTTCCTTTCTAGGTGTGTACTTTTTCAATTTGTAGCGCCGTTTTAACCGCTACTAAAGAAAACCAGCTGCCGAACATAATTGTAAAGTTTCTAATTGCTCCCATAGAGATATGATATTTTTGTAGCATCCGCCAGTCCTCGCCACGAGTAAGCAGGGAAAAGTGTTAGGACTTCATCTCCGTTAATTAAGTATTAGCCGATTTCAGTTTCCCTGTTAATTTAAAACTATCATACAAACAGGCAAGGTTGCTCGTTTTCACATAGTTAAACCTGATAATGTGACCTGCCGCTTGATCTCAGGATTCCGGTACGCGATCGGTGTTAATTGAGCTACCCAATTTCGGAATTTCAACCCGGTCATTTAGTAGAGTATAATTAACCGTAATTAATCATGTTACCACAAACCTCGTCGCATTATATTGTGTCTAGTGTCCAATGAAACGCGCTCAATTGGCTTGGATTTTTAAGCTGGTCCCAGATTTTTAGGATAACAGGGGATCGAGTAATTAATTAAAGAAGTTTTAATTTTCGGACGCTATAACTCGAGTACGTCGCCGATTGGAAATTCCGATGTTCCCTTTCCGTATTTTGGGAATTCTATATAAGGTGACAAGGATGATTTAGGGGATTCTATTTGCTTTTTAGCTTTCGTGCCAAAGAGTTCAATTTTTCATATTACTTGCTTTCCTTTCAGTTATTTTGCGTTAGACACCGTTAGTTAAGTTGTGCTTCCGTTCCCGTTTTGGGTAATCGCTACCGTTGCGACGAAATTTCGGCAGCTCGCGCACAAACGATGGCTTTTAAAAAAATGTATATACAGTAGAGATGAAATTTCATTAGCACCAAAAGAAAAAAATAATATCATAAAGCAAAATAGAACGGCCTGTCCCTGCCCACATCTTTGATGTATAACGGCCTCGGAACGATTTGACGACGGTTGCCCTAGGAAAATCAGCCGTCTCCAGAGCTTCTAAGCAAATGCATTAGCAATCGAAAGCAACAAATCAAATATCGGTATCTACGAGAAATAAAATGCAGGAGAGCAATACAATAGCCCCTTTACAATTAATAGCAAGGAAGTATGTAACGCTTACCTATTAAATTTTACGGTAAAATTGCAGTATCACGACGGCGACTCAAAATCAAAACGGTTCTTTACAAAAACTACCCAACTAAAATATAAAAAAAACTCCCCTCTAACTATCGCATTTGAATATTATAGCAATCGGCTCCAGAGAAAAGAATCCCTCCGATAAATACGTACCTACCTTTATAGAAAGCGACTATTTCATCGAGCGAGCATGGTTTTTTCCTGCTCGCACGACAAATCGGTAAGAACGCATTCAAAAATCCTTCCTTCACTAATTTCGCAGTTCCCTGCTGTCCTTAAAACGTGAGACCCGGTTTAATCGTCTTGATAAATCAGCGCGCATCTAATGACACCAATCCCCGCCTTAATTGGAAGATGGTATCTGCAATCCAGTTATTTAATTATGGTTAGTTATGGTTAGGGACATGGCCGGGATCAAATTCCAAAATTAAGAAACCACAACCCACTAAAAAAGTAATTAACGACACTGCAGCTAAAGCTATTAACTCTCGCCCTTCCCCTCTCTTCTCCGAGGAGAGCTTTCGAACCCTACAAAAACAATGCAAATATCTCTACGGGAACCGTTAGGAACCGGATTAATTATATACGGGAACTGATCTCCTCGGCGGCCCAAACGACTCTAAAAATTAGCGCAGTTACTTCCACCCATCTCCTAACACAAACATTTCCTAACGAAGCACCTCTAGATACCGGGTGTCATCATCAAAACTGGTGGAAAATGAGTGCTTTGTTACACCGTTCCCGTGTGTCGTAATTGTGGTATAGATTATTATTCGCCTCAACCTTGGCCAGAAGCAGGGTTTGCAATTCTTCTAGTGGCGCTCGAGGTACCACACTTTCCCGCTGACTCGCCGTTCCCACCGTTTATTTTGTATAATCAAGTGTACATGTACATATAATTATATCTTCTTGTGTCTACATTACATTTTTTTTGAATTATACCGTCTAATTTTAAAGCAACCGTTTGTGTGCGGACTTCCCGGCAATTCAGCGCAACGTTATCAGGTGTTTTATTTCAAGGAAATGCATTTGGAAACTCGCCGATAATGAATTCTTCGGGAATATCGATGGTCCACATTCATTTTCATTTTTCTATTGTGAGCCGTGACGGAGTGCACTTCATTTTAATTAAACAGCTAAGGCGTTAGTTGAAAACGCATAGAATTTTAATTACTATCATCCATACTTTATTAATCCCTGGCAATTGGATTCATTCATTTGGGGAAATTGGGGATAAATTTTCAAAACGAATTCACCTATAAACTCCAATAGGAGGATATAATTGCGTTTTTTCCGCCATTTGAATTTTCCGTAGTTGAAGTGTACCTTTTCTTTAGGTTTCGGCTGATATTAGCCCTCTTATTTAAAAAGTATGTACATTTTAGTTTATCAAGAGAGAAAGGTTGCCTTTGATTTTCTTTTAGGGTTTTAATTTTAGGGTTCAAATCCTATTTTAATTGTTTCCAGTTTAACGGACCAATACAGATTCAGTTTCATTCTGCTGCAAGGACCAGTTTAAGTTTCGGAGATTTTTTACCTAAAATTCTCTCGACGTACGAGTAACCTTGAGTTAAATTCACCATTTATCTGCGAGTAGCAACATCGGGCACCTGCTGATAATGAGCGACCATATTCTGGAGTTGGGTCACAAGGTCAGGATCGAAATTGATAGCGAGAATCAATTCTCAACAAAGAGACAACTTCCGTAACTTTTAGCGTATTGGTATTAACTATTTTTGCCCCTTCTGCGTTATTTATGCCATCACATTCAAGTAATTTGTTATTATTATCTTTGCGATTTAGGTTAAGTTATGATCGAGTTAGATACGTGAATGCTATTGGAGTCTGCCACTTCCTTATGAAAAAGTTGGCCAATTAAGGACCGTTCCTACTTGTAATAAAACTAATACGAGTAAAGCGAGGCCCTTCGGGCGTTGGTCAATCAATTGCAGGTTCTGGGATCCGAGAATTGAGCTAACTTCTTGGCGTCAACGTTTAATTTTATGCAAAATAAGCGTTGCCTTATGTGTTTTACTTGTACTTGGCCATATACGGAGTATCCATTACTACTCTGATATCTTCTCAATTTCATACAAGGGGAGTTAAGATAGAAATTGAGTGGCGCTCAACCATTGGTAAGTGCAACGAAAATGCCCAGAACTAACTACCGCTGTGGAAGATTCGCAAGCTATTATTTTGTATTTACCCTGAGCTGATTGGCCGTTTATGCGACGGGTTTGAGGAACCGTAGGACCAACCTACCCGTTACAAAGACCAATTCAAATTACTACAATAAAAATGACTTATTTACTTAGATAGAACATAAAACACGCAATGTTTTTTCTTGTACGTAACAGTTTCAATTACGTTTATAGGAATTGCGAGTTAGGAATATTCCTTTGGCTTAATTACGTCATAGTCAGGGCAAGCTTTATCATGTGTTAGGGGAAGGTTGAAGATTAGTACTGGGTGGGAATCCAATTTAGGGCATATTATAATCTTTGATACGTATCGTAGTTAAAATGTTACCGTCCATAAGTGTGGGTGGCTTTCATTTGTGATTAATATACAGGGTGTTTAGATAATTTAGGGTATCTGGGAGATTTTGTGTATATGGTTAGAGTGCTATGTACCTTTTCACATGTGTTTTATATTTTAACAATTTGCAGGACTTCAAAATTCAAGTACGACTTTTACAATTATTCAATTACGATTTTTATGATCGGCTTGTGCGATGAGACGGGGGTTCTATTTGTTTTATGTGAGGACGTAAAATCTTTATTGAATTTGTTCTTGTATTGCTATAATCTTTTATTAATTGTTGAATAGTAGCGTAATTGATTTTCAATCCATAAAAGGGGCCCAGTTGAAAATCTTTCATAGACTTGCAAAATTCGTTCATCAATACGACTTAAAGTGAACGCATTATGGGACCGTTGTAATTGTTGTAATAAGTGAGGACCAAAAATCTTTAGTAAGCAATTCAATAATGATACCTATCCATAATTTTACATGAATTTTGGTTAACCCTATTAAAATTAACAATCAAGTACGTGATTGATCTGTCAGCATGTAGAATGGGTAGCCATAATTCAACATGTCACTGACAACATCTCGCATCCTCTGAAGGTAACGGCGTTTAGGTATAATGGACATCATTGCGACCATAGCATCCTCATCGTCACAGTTGGAAAAATCAGGGATGTCATCGCCCTCTTTCAAATTTGAGGGATTAAACAAAATTGCGAGTAATAGAGCCCACCCCGAATATTTCTTCAAATGCTCTAGTAGAATTGGAAACGGAAACAAACTGTCAGGATCGCTTCCGAGTTCTCGCAGGAATAAACAAAAGCTCTGATAGTACTCCTCTATCAATTTTGTGTAATGTTGCTCTCTCAGCTCTTTGTCGGTGCTTAGGAAGATAAAAAATAGAACTTCCATTGCCGGCGGAGCGAGATGCATCAATTGCCAGTCTACTATGCACAACTCTGTGGGACAATCGGGGTCGTGTGGATTCTGAAACAAGGAAGCTTGCAGTATCTGCCCGATGGTAATTAACACTTACCCCGTATTTGAAGAGAAGGTTGCGTATTTCCAAATCACCGTGAATTATCACGGCATATTTCATGTCATCTCGACTAATACAAGAGAAATTTCTGTAAATGACTGGTAAAATATTCACGAATTCCTGCAGAGCTTTCCGCTCCTCTTCATTTTGTTGCGAAGGGTAGGAGGTTAGAATAGCGTTGGTCAAAATAGGTACGGCTTTCAGGGCAGGCACCTTCACATTGCTGAAGAAAAGGCATTTATGGCACTGATCTTTCCAGCTGTCAAAAATTTTTGGCTTTTGGTCACGCATTGCGTACGACAGCGCATGGAACTTGCCAATTTCCCTCATGACAAGCGAAGCGTGAGGGTAGTCGACGGATATTCGATAATTTAGAGGTCTAAAACCCTTCATTTTCACGTTCTCCATTATCAACGCCTCCCGCAGGTACTCGGTTGACGAGGCGTACAACTTGGCGAACGCTTGAAAATTGCGCTCCAAGTTTTTATCGCGCTGCAACTCAAAAAACTCCCGTAGTATTTCCTTGTAGGTAAATATTTCGCTTTTATAGATCTCGCGGACCGCGAATGTCTCTCTAAAGGTTCCTTCTTGCGGTGCCACTTTTAAGACTAAATGAAGGGTTCCGTTTGTATCATTGACTGTGACGTTGTAGATCAATCCAATAAAATTGTCGCCACTTTCCAAACCACTGCTTGATATTTCGATTGAGCGGTTGGTTCCATCGGGAAACGCCGCCTCAACTAAGGTGCGAGCTAACTTTTTGATCTCCAAAGTGATGGAAGACATTGCCGAGCACGTTCTAAGAAAAACAAAAAAAATAATTTTTGAAAATTAGAAAGGAGGTGGATTTCCTTTAGACGTCAGGTGGTGTATTCCAATTAACAGAGGGGATATTCAGCTTGTGGGTAAGCCAAAACTAAACACTAGAGTGCGCAAGCATCCTCCAAATATCGACCCGAAAACTGTGCAGTACAGTAAGTGTAGAAATTAAAATATAGCACCCACCTCTATCGAGTTTTGCTTTGGAGCTCGATCTGTAGGTATATGAGAAGTATAGATATGACGGCGAGACGAAAATCACGATTCAATAATCATGAGACGTGAGCCTTGGTCTTACACGTGTAGTTATTTTAATTGTAAACGTGACAAACCTTTAAGATTTTCGATACACTTTGTGGAATGGAAATGGACCCAAATATGTCGCATGTCACTTTGATTTCATACAGTAGATGTGTATAATCGAATTAGTTATTTACCTAACAAGTTCGGTAAGTTAATTTTCCCGCATGAGCACTTTGTTTGCAGCACGACCGTAGGGAGTGCTGCATTTAGTGCGAATGCAGGAAAATTCTTTCCGAAAGAGTTAGGTACAATATTTTTTGTAACGAATTGCGTAAAAAAGGTCAAAATTAATAAAGTTTTGTAAATTAGCTTTTTTTTAATCATGAGTTGGTAACACAATCATATGTTTGGTTGGTAACATTTTTACCCACTTTTAATAATGCACTGGTCACATTTAAAACTTCCACATCTTTGGTTAATACATATTTTGCCTTTGCAATGAGTGCTACTACTGGTCACGGCATTGCATCGTTTTCACTGAATATCTTGAGTTGCGTAAATACACTCGTTACATTTAAAATCCTTGGAAGCTTTGTGTGTGTTAATATGTGCTTTCTTAAACTGCATATGCGAATAGTTGCAGAATATCACTGGTCACATTTTAAGACGTTTTAACAATAAATTTTACTTTTTCTTGAGTTCCAATTCTGAAAAATAATTTGATTGGGTTATAAGTTCTTGTTTATATATTTACGTAAAACTTAGTGTACGTCTGTTTCCGATTAATCGCACTAAATACCCTCAACCAACGGTTTAATTGATTTTACAGCAGATGACAGTTAACCATGACATGGACGTTCGTCGACTTCAATAAGTACTACCAACCGAAGAACGCGCATAACTCCTTCTCTCCAGCGGAAACTAAAAAACACCGCGATGCGGGAAAGTCGTTTTCCCGTGCATCGAGGAAGCTTGGAAACATTATCTTTCCATTCAATGAGTACAAAAAACCATTTTCGTTGTTCGGCCAAAAATTGCGGTGCATTTTTTTTCCAATTTTCAAAAACTAGTTTCATATTCGTTATTTTCATCTTCAAAAACCCCCAGATACCAAATTTGTTCGCACCCCCATTGAGAGTAAAAATTTTAAAAAATGTTTGCAAAATCAGAATGGGCATACACAAAACCTATTCATAGATATGCCACCAGTCCTTGTAACTCTTATGGTTGCTGAGATAAACGGAAGGAATGCAAATTTCACCACTTTTTTGAGGGGGACTCCCAAACGAAACACGTTGGAGTGACTTGGCGCATGTATCGATCAGTACGCGAAATAGCAGAGTGGGACATCAACAAAAAAGACGTTTTTAAAAACCCTATAATCCAATAGGTGAATCTAACCAATCCGAGGATACACAGAGACACAAAAATTCCATCTAAATCCGTAAAGCCGTTTAGGAGTTCAGCCACAACACACGTACAAAAGGATTATTTATACGAGTGTTGGGGATTAAGTCATGGTAACTATTTTTTTGAGCTCTGGTTCGAAAGCCCTGGCGTAAAATCTATCAATGGCAACGATTGTCTCTAACATGTGGTCTCCTTTCTCCTGGTGGTGGCCGACGATGTGGCCACAGCATATTGTATATCGTGTCCATTTTTGACCTTCACTGAATGCATGTGACACCCACCGCGATGCAGGTCTTATCGATGGCCCGTGTTTGAATTTTCTCTCTCTTCCACCACCCACTACCGCCGCGCCATCCGCAAAATGGCTCCCAGACGGTCGGATTTGTTATTGGGTTATACATAACATCCAAATATCAACAATAATAAAACTGTTTAAAAAATATACCACCAGCTCTCCAGCCTACTATTACCATCGCTATCGTCGAAAACAATCATCGTCTGCGCCGTTTTGATCACCATCACATTTAAGATTTAAATTTATACAGTGTGTCCCAGATCGGGTGGGATTGCATGGGTAACTTTCTTATTATTAAAGATAGAAAATTGGTTAAATGGACAATGTTTTGCAGTTTTAGATCCTTATTTAAAATTTCTTTGTGGAAATTCAAAATGTCGAATAGGTTCGACGTAAATTCAAAAAAACTAAAATTGGTCATTTCCTTTAATGTCTTATATCATCGAAAGTACAAGAGATATACAAAAAAGTTTTATATAAAAGTTACTGTCTTTCATACGCCTAATTTAGAATTGATGTTAAAACAAAATTCAAGATGGCTACCTTTGAGGAATATTTACCAACTTCCTAAAGTCAAATAGGCGCGATATTGGATTTTTAGATTATTTGATAGATTTTTTAATTCTCTTTTCATAGCATAAGATTGAAAATAAAATACCAGTTATATCAACGGTTTTTGTATTTTAATCAAGTAGGCTATGATGAATTAAAAAAAAACAAAACAAAATCTATTCGAGGCAACATAACAATGAAAACAATTACATCACATGTTTAAAATACTGGCCATTGTTAGTGAAACACACTTCAAGACAGTTTGCTTTAGGCAACGTGTTGCCATTGATACTATAACACGCCTTTAGAACGGCTTCGCGCAGTTGTGTTATTATTACCTATTAGTATAGTATTTACTTCCATGTACTTTATTCTTTAATGTACAATGTACACAATTCGTGAAATGTGACCTGGGTAGCCAGCTCAATTGTTGGTAGGTACCATAAACGGCATAAACCTACCCTTTCTGCGAACCATACGTTGTCTAAAAAATCCTTTAAGGAAGTTTATTGGAGAATTTGTAAATAATGGTGAGCAGTTAAAGTTCCATCCAAGTACATGACTTCCCATTATGCCATATAATACATTAATTTCAAAACTTAAATTAAATTAAAATGATTTCAGCGTGAAACTCATCTAGGTTTTCCTGTGACGAGTAGTGTTCATTATGTCGATTTGAACACTCTGCAGAAAAATAAGATTCATCTGTCCATATACTCGAACTGGTAAAACTGTTAGTTTCGATATTCTTACGGATAAACCACCTACAAAATGAGACCTGGAACAATCCATCAATGGTAATACATTGTGTAAAGTAAAGCGAAGTGTCTTGAAATGTTTAAACTGAATAATGGCATGGCATTTTTTCGAGGGGATAGTTATAGTAGTTATACGAGCATTTTGTAGGTATGTAAGTATGGATAATACATATGATAGTCAATAAGTGACGTCATAAAAGTCAAAATTTTTCTACGCTTACTTATATAAAATTTTGGAGGGAGTTGTAACGCTCAAACCCCCCTTCCATGAGTGCGCTCCTGATATTTTAAACATCTGATGTAATTATTTTCATCGTTTTGTTGCCTCGAATAGATTTTGTTTTGTTTTTTTTTTAATTCACCATAGCCTACTTGATTAAAATATAAAAACCGTTGATATAACGGGTATCTTATTTTCAATCTTATGCTATGATAGCTCGTTGAAAAGAGAATTAAAAAATCTATAAAATAATCTAAAAATCCAATATGGCGCCTATTTAACTTTAGGAAGTTGGTAATTAATGTTCCTCAAAGGTAGCCATCTTGAATTTTGTTTTGACATCAATTCTAAGTTAGGCGTATCAAAGACAGTAACTTTAATATAAAACTTTTTTTAATATCTCTTATACTTTCGATGATATAAGACATTAAAGGAAATGACCAATTTTAGTTTTTTTGAATTTACGTCGAACCTATTCGACATTTTGAATTTCCACAAGGAAATTTGTAAGCATCTAAAACTGCAAAACATTGTCAATTTAACCAATTCTCTATCTTTAATAATAAGAAAGTTACCCATGCAATCCCACCCGATCTGGTCATTATTTTTGGCAACAGAGGTTTGTGGTTTTATGATTTGTCTTATTTGGGAACTAGAAAACTTATGAAATGTTGCATGCCGTGTGCTGTCAGGATACGTGGTGTCTGTTGTATTACACAGAAAAGACCTACATCAACTTGTTCAATGTTCCGCCTTGAAGATTTACTGTTACGCGTTACGATCTCCCCATGTAACACAACCACCGCACATTCCTGACAGCACACAGCATACTAGGTGTAATAAGTTTTCTAAATATTCATTCACGAATTTCTCAATTTTGTGTATATCAACCATATATTTCACGTTGTCGTACAGCAATTTGATTGCTTTTTTCAAAAATCTTAAAAAACATAGCCATTGCATTTGAAAATCAAACCACCAAGACTGACTGTCATTTACCAAAAAAAATCATTCACTAATACTGACTGCCAAATACCTCCTCGCTTATTTAACGACTTTTCCTTTTTGCGCCTTTTTTAATTCATCTTCTCTATTGCTTTCTCACTGTCCACCAATCAAACTTACTTTAGCCACCAGCAAAACTTCGAAAAAAAGACCGCCTGCGCCTATAATTCATATTCTGATGGAGACCGTATCCGATTCATGGTATCTTTGTTACCTAGGATATATCATATACAGTGAATTTTTTTTAATGCGAACATAGGAGTTTGCATGCAATGTAATTTCCCTATGTTCGATTTTTAAAAAAACACATCAATCTATTGAGTAGTTCAAATGAGTAGATAGAATTGACAGCTGTCATATTTTTAAAAATACCGCCGTCCAATTTAATTACGAAATCGGTTAGGTTATTGCTTAGAATGTCAAGGATGACACTTCGAACATTTTATTGTAATTGTTTTCGGTATTTATTTTCTTAATTTATGTATTGAATAGATCAAATTAGTAGAATACCAGGTGCACATGACCTACAAATAATTAAAGGTTGGTTCACAATGAGTTGTGGTGTCAGTGCGTGGCCTGTGAGGTCAAGTTATCGTAAGTTTAAGAAAAATGTATCTGAAAGTTGCTATGGCCTCACATGGCTTCTTTAAAAAATCTTACCGAGTGCTCTTCATCATAAAGACTATAGAATTGCTGTTCATAGTCTCACAAGTTGCGCGA